AAAAAAAAAAAATATGTGAAAGTACTCAATATCATAAAAATAGTGGAAAAAGTTAGCGAATCGAATACCTGTACGAGTGATTTCACCCGGTCGAACAGAGCATTTGCTATCCAGTATATACTATCTTGACTGTAATGAACTCTTTAAGACTGCGAGTGAACCGTACCTACCCGACGACTGACATTAGGTACTGCGTATGCGACAACGCGTAACAATACAGGTGATGTGTTCAAACAAAGGCCAGTACATAATAACTAAAGACCGGATTTAATTGATATTGCAACTTGTTATTGGTACCCGGTAAATCAAATGTGTATACGAACCAGATCAATTACAGTCTTCCTATTTAGTTTAATAATGGTTACGAATTTTTTTGCATTCATTGCAATTTTTTATACTTCAGATGATAGAATATACAACAAAATTATTTACAAAGTGGTTTTACAAAAAAAAAAAAAATATAACTAAGACGTAAATTTTTAAATGTAGCTATATGTAGTTTAGGATTTCAAAAATTATATTTAACTGACTTATCCACAAAATTCACAAGTTTAGAAGAATCAAATAGTCAATTATTTAATAGTTTAAACATATTTTGTGAAATTGAAAATATTTTTATAAATATTCCCGGTCCTAATGGAAAAATAGTTAAAGATAAATTAAAATATGTCTTAGAAAAAAAATGAAGGATATAAAACTACTAAGACTTAATCTGAGATTATGACAGGAGATAAAAATGTTTATTTAGGTATAATTAAATTAAATTTTTTAAATTATTTTGAATATGCATCGATAACAAGTGTCAACGATGAACACGCTTTTTCATTGTATAAATATATTTTAAGTAACGGACGATACAATTTTCAATAACACAATTTACAGATGTATATAATAATAAATTTTAATTCAGAAAAATTATATATTTTGTAAATATTGTATTTATGTCTATAATATTTTTTTAGTATGTAATTAATGAATATTTATTTGATATGATTTTACTATGTACCTTTAATATATATTTCATTGCGATTTCGGCACTTTTTTAGTGAAAATTTAAAATATTTTTAATGCAATTATATCCGGTCTTGAATAATAACTAATGAGTAACAATCATATCTCAGAGTTCAGCCGCAGTGACGATACACAAATAAGCTGTAAAACATGCGCTAGCGAGTATTCCATATTTATCATAACTATTGCGTACCAGCACATCCTTGGTGCCAAATTAACGATTTTAAATCGATCGGTCAATGCGTTTTTTTTTTTTTGGTAGCCAAAAAATAAGTACAATAAAAAATAAATAATAACCAGCGATCAAATTCTATACTCTGGAGTCACAGCGGTGGCCACAACTCGTTTGCGCACATTTACCTTTTTTACAACTCGTCCGCGCAAAAATGCACAACTCGATTGCGCACATATATTTTGGTTACCTGTGACGAAAATCCCTAATGTCAAAACTCGTTTGCTTATTATCGTTGATTATTATACTCCTCGCGGTTATGAGAGTTGACTACTTTTATTATTTTGTTTGAGTTATTAACAATAACACTCGCAGGACATTTTTTTCTTAGTGCATCTAAAATTTGAACATCCACTCATTAAAACACGGTGTCCACTAAATTTATAATTATCAATATTGCAACATTGTTTTCCTCACCGAAGTTCAAAAATGTTAGAAATGTCTGCGTCATATTAAAGTTTACGTCGTCAACACACTAGTCACCACTGTACCGTCCGTAGTCCATACCTACTGAAACTTTACGTGGCATGTGTTGTGTTGCTGTTATGCGCAAACGAGTTATTTGTTTTCAGGTAAACGACCGATTTCGTCGTGCGCAAACGAGTTGCAACGGCAGCGGTGTACATTGCTCGCGTGACTGATACGACTCTGCGGTGGTGCGATTGGAAAACACTTCCGTGAAGTCCACGAACAACTTGAACACGTCAACTTTTCCGCAATATAACCATTATATTACATAATAAACATCATGCGGACGAGTACGAAAAAGTGAAACCCGACGGCCGGACGGTTAGCAAGTAGGTGGTTCGAAAAACGTTCAACCTCACCGTCGGGCTCTCTCTCTCTTTTCAAAACGTTTGGCACGTATCAAGCTTACAGTTGCTACCATTTGTCCGCGGCGCAGTTTCGCCTCGCCGTAACTGTGTACACTTGTGTAACTCCCGAGATTCGGACCCGGGAGCGGGTTGATGACTTCCTATCCATCTCGACATGTATGCGTATCATAACCGTGCACGCAAGGGTGCCGGGTATGCCCGGGAACCCCCAGAAATCGTGTAAACGGGTCTCTAAAATTAGAGTTTAACAGTGAGGGGCCTCTAGTTCAACTGAAGTTTCTCAAATTAATCGTGATTTATTCCAAAATATTTCGTAGAAAATAAATTGTTTTTCGTAATAGAAGAAATAAAACAAAACGTTTGGGATTTCGCGCGAAAACTTATTCTGTTATAAACCAGTTAAAATTGACTAAAATAGTACAAATCATAAGTAACTGAAGCTATCCGAGAAAAGTGTACGAGATTCGAAGAAAACGTATTCGTCGGGGCTAATACACCACAGTATTGAATAAAATACTAAAATTATATTTGTTTAATTATTCGTACGTTATAATTTATTAAATATACCAACACGTTTTGTTTAGATAGCGCATAAAAGTGTTGTAGGTACCCCCTGAAATATAGGTAAGCTCACGTTTGTGATAGGTGTAACGGAAAAAGTGCGCAGATCTTCAGTGAAATATGATCTTTAAATCAAATACACGTCCTGCCGTCATGATGTATACGTGAAAATGTTATTGATATAACTGTATAGATCTAGTGTAACACTAGGGATACGTAATCATCAATATTTTAACGGTATACATTAATTCGTTAGTATAATACAGCCATCGTTCAACGTGCAGCACGTGTTGATACGTAATTTTCACTACTCGTTCGGGGTTCGACACCAGACCCTTGCTGCAGTAATCGCGAAATAGAAATAAAATCAAACTTTTTTTTGTGAACTGTAGAAGAAAACGAAATGTTCAATATGATGCATACGAGAATGTTGCACTTAAAGCACTGTGTCAGTTTATGAAATAACTAGGTAATTTATAAAAATCACTAAAAACTGTAGGTAATATATGTGTGTACAATATCGTTATTTTGCTGTCCATCATAGCAATAAATCAGATAAAACCGACGTTCTTATTGTCGGTGACTGCGGTATTCATGTACGTTTATCGTGTTAGATATAGCTATCGTTGTACATGTATTATTATTAAGATTGTCAGTAACATTGGTAAGGTTTAAGGTTTAGTCATACAGTCACACCCGTTCAGTGTTGGTTCGTCTGTCTTTACATTAGCCTTGCATGTACAAATAAATGATTAATTGAATTTAAAACAAACAAAACGTTATGATACGTTTAAAATTTTAATGTATTATGTATCCTTCAACATATATCAAACCAAAATTGTTTAGAATAACAAGATATCCGATGAAATAACTAGTGAAAGCATAATTTTCATATATGATTTCATGGTTCAACTAACATTCATAGGCAATTCATGAAATACCTGATCATTTCATAAAATAACGGAATTCAATACTTTAACTGTAACATTCACGTATATAATAATTACTATACTGTACTGAGCTAAAACTTTGCGCTCTAACCACTGTATGATACGTATATGTTGATGAACCGATATCGTCAAATGTTTGGGACTGATGATTATGCGCAATGTTGTGGCACGCATTTACCATTCGTATTCCGTGCAAAGAAACAAAACATATTTCACGAACAAATAAAAAGCAAATGTATTTTATCTGAAAATCTGATTAACGTACAAGTGTTACGTGTCGGTGCACGCGGATAAGACATAAGCTCGTATTTTTTTTGTTTTTTTTTTTTTTTTTTACAGGCAATTATTATTGTTATTATTAAAAGCATAGTTACGTGCGAGCTGGATTTTCTTTTAACGAATTTTGTACACGGTGCGATTCCTCTGAAAAAATATCGTCCTCGATATTCGTACCCACTCAAATTAGAGATAAGTAAAATAAAAACTTGGAACAGGGTCGTGATCGCTTTATTTCCCGGTCGAAGTGTTGACAACTTGAACATTTTAAACTATACCACACGACAGTCGTATAAGCATATTATTAGGTAAACGCGTTCGTTTTAATTTTTATCAAAAAATGACGTAATTAATGTTATTAGTCGTTTCTGCTTCGATGTCTTGTCGAAATCACTTTGGACCAAATACGAATGCATTCAGTACCTGCTGTGTCTATGACTGGTATACATTTCGCCAGCTACTTAATTAGGACGATCGATCGTTGGTGCTCGAAACGTAACGTATCCCATGGTACACGTCGTCGTTATCTGCTTATTAATGGG